GAAAAAAAGACCAGAGACTTTTTTTTTGTCTGAAGTTGTTTTCGATGACTTTTTCATTCAAAGCCATTTTTGCTGAAGTTGTTCTTTCTTAAGATGTTTTCTCTGACGCCTTTCTTTCTGAGATCTTTTCATCCAAAGCTGTTTTTCCTTAGATGTTTTTTCTGAAGTCATTTTTACTGAGAACATTTTGTCAGAAGCTGTTTTTGCTGAAAGCTTTTAATCTGATGCCTTTCTTCCTGAGACTTTTCTGTCTGAAACTATTTTTGCTGAGATCTTCTTGTCTGATGCCTTTCGTTCTGAGATTTTTTCATCAGAGGTCTGGTGGCTTTTTGTTTGTGGTCTGACATCTGAGGCCATTCATTCTAATGTTTCAGGATCTCCTAAATGTGCACCATGCCTCTGTCTTCCCCTTACATGCTGCGTCATCTTGTTGCTGCAAAAACAAAGGCGACAGAGTGCAGATGCTAAAGCAGCCAGCATTTTCAGCCTGACGGTTTCCTGATAGAATCCAGAGGAGACTGGACTCTTCCCCACGTTTATCAGCAACAAGCAGCAGAGCAATTACACCACAAAGTACAATGGAGAAGATTACTGGAAACAGCTTCTGCAAATTAACATAACTCAGAGTGAAAGCTTCTCTCTCTCTCCCCGTTCCTCAGCTAAACCTGTTAACATGCAGTCAAAGGAATCCCTTGCTTGAATTCACACTCTGGTGATTTTCAGAAGTGTTAAGTTGCTTGTCTGGCAGGATTCAGTCAAACACAGATTACAGACAGAGAACAATGTCATTTTCTTTTAAGTGACAACAACAGAAACATCTTCTGTCTCTGCAAACAGATGTGAACCATCTATATTTCCTCGGATTTTCTGCGTTGGACTTTGGAGTGAGCTTAAAAAAAGTATATTTTAATCAAAGGAGAACTTCAAACAGAATGTTAACCGGATTAAATAGGAAGCATTTATGTAAATGAGAGAAAAAAATCAAAGCGCGAGATGTTTTTCAACAGAACACCAAATGATCGAAGAAGTGGAACTTGTTGGAGGTAATCAGGCAAGGCAGCGAGGCTTAAAGCTGACAGGGTGGACAAACTTAACAGAGCATGTAAATCACAGCGTTCGACGCTCTCCCAGCAGAGCAGGAAGCTCAGCGATCTAATCCAGCATGCTGTGTTAGCAGATGCTGCATGATTTAGTCATAGGTTTTAAAAATCAAGGTTTTTATAAGCAAAGAAAAAAAAACACAACATAATACCTATTCAGGGTTGAATGGCGTTCATAAGGATTTGCAGCAATGATTTCTTTCATTAAATGCATATTTCTCCTTTTGCAAAATGTGGAGACAAACGGCAGAGCTGATTCCTGATGCTTTATGCTAAATCTGCTATTATTTGCCTCGATTTGTCCTTGATGGAGACAGCTGTAGCCTCAGGCATGCTGAAAAATCTGTCTGGATTAATGCCTAACACACACACACACACACACACACACACACACACACACACACACACACACACCCACACCCACACACACACACACGCACGCGCGCACGCACACACACACACACAGCTGAATATATTTTTCAGCACTGATCGGTATCACTACCTCGGCCAGCAGACACGGATAATATGGTTTCTATTGTTAGCTGTTGAATCCTCAGTGCTGTAATCTTTCTCAATGATTATAATATATATTTATACTTGTTTCAAGGTATGAAAAAGTTGTGCAGAGGCTCTGGCAAGAAAAGGTTAACGGGTGAAGATCAACCTGTTGCAATAAACAATAAATCAATTAATCGTATAATAAATTAAGCTCAATAATTTTCATTTGCATGATTTGTTGTTTTTCTCTTTTTCTACTAAAAACTGGATCATAAAAATCTTCAGTCTGGTCTTTTGGTCTCAACTTTCCCTTTTTTTTTTGAAGAATGACTTTTCTTTAGACTAATTCAATTTATTTGTTGTTTCTGTCGTTTTGTGTGTTTATTTTGGAAATTTAAAATGTCTTTCAGCTCCAATGTTAAATGTTCATTAGAGTTTAAAGTTTATTCATCTTTGAGAATGGGTTCTTGTATTATAAAATGGTTTCCAATATTATAATTCATTGAAATAACTTCTGAGACAATTTATTGACCAGCAAAACTTGTTATTGCGAAGGGTTTACACATACATTCACACCAAAGCATGCTAAAGAAAATAACACATTTTAGAACTGTAATCATTATACTGGGATATTTTCGCCTAAATTTCTTATACCGGCCCACTTGGCCTAATCATTATATATACCGATATCGAATGATAGAAAAAAGTTATTGTGATGTAACATTGTATCGTCCAGCCCTAGTTTCAACATTTGTGTCCATTTCAATACAGAAAACTTTGTTGTGAAATGACTCTGAGGAACCTCACAGCTACAAAATTAAGCAAAGTTCTCCCACCACTGCGGAGTAAGAATACAGGTCTACTTTTCTTCTTTAAAGAAATCACAATTTAAAAAGAAAGACACTCTCACGCTTCCCAGAAGTTATAAAAATCTATGTATATATGGAGGCATAAGAACAAAACAGCCTGCTCTCCATTTCTATTGTCGCTCTTTATTTCCTTTCACAGGAGTAAAAGCTTCTGGAGTTTGAGTTTTGTTTTCAGTGTTTGTCCTGTGAGGACGGTGTGTCCACTTATCGATCAATCTACAGTGGGAGAAATGTCACAGCATCGCTGTGGATCAGCAAACTGGCCTTTGAGGATAAATCTCATTAACTTTGCAACATTGCCATTCTGCTGTCAGTCAACAAACCAAAATGCCAAAAAGAAAGCTGGAACCTTTGCTCCGAGCAGAGAGAAATATCAAACAAGGGAGTCAAATGGTTAGGAGACACAAACCTCGTTGTTTTTGCTCTGGTACAGCCGGATCGTTTAGCAATTATGGGCTTTGTCTGAAGAGAAAACTGACTGGAGGAACAATGTGCAGTGAAATGTGGTGCTGGGTTTCTTATGAAATAATCCTGTTAAAGGAGAGATAATTACACACTTTTTAGCTTGTTAAGCATTAAAATTTCCAATGCTGCTTAGAGAATAAAGATGCATCTTTAAAATATCAATTAACTCCAAAAATTTGAAATTGGCAGAATAAATCCTTCAACTCCATCTAATTCTGCTATCAGGCGAGTCATAGATATAAACAAATATAAACACATTACATATTAGTTTCACCTGTTGTACTAAATTACTTAAATAAATAAAAATTTTGATGCATATGAAATTAACCTGCATGTAATTTGACACAAAAAGAGACTGCAGGTAGTTTTATTGGAGGTTAACAATTTCAAAGTATATGATGATGAATGAAATTAAGAATCTATATTAAAATAAAGACCAGAAGTTTAACTCTCCCCACTATTTCTTATTTCAAAGTATATCAACTTTAACAGCTCTATGAAGTATTCAAATTTAAGTAAATAAAAGCCTCCTGAAACTGATTTGGTTTTTTTTATGTTGTAACAGACTTTTATAAACTTCTAACCGCTATTTCCAAAAAAACAACAACAAAAAACAACAACCTTGTGATTCTTTTAAAGAATGAACTCGGAGCACAGCATATTTATGCGTTCTCTGTCAGAAAACAACACATAACAGGGAGATAAATCCAAGTGGAAAAGAGGGAAATAAATATTTGATGAGTTTCCAGCTCATTCTTGCAGACAGGAGTTAGCCCTTTACGGGAATTAAACACACAGCGGAAATTCATAATGTTTTTGAGAGGCTTTATCTCGATGTTTCACAGTTTTTTTTCTTCTAAAAGGCTGATTCTGTCCAATCTCTACCAACCAGCAGGAGACAGAGATGGATTGCTAACAACCTGGAGCTGCTGCCACTCAGGTCAATCTACAAAGAGATCCCCACACAGTTTCAATAACCGATAAAGCTCACAGCTTTGTGGAAACAATTGCTAACGGACAGCCCTGGTACTCAGATCTGCAGTGGTTTGCATCTGTAAAACGCAGGAGGTTTGGCAGCTTGATGAACGGCTGACACCCACGTCAAGGCAGGAAGTCATCAGAAGTGAACTTAGAAAAGAAGCCACAAAATTGTCACACGTCAGCAACAAATGTTAAATCTACAACAAACTGTCTGGAAAAGTAAAGAAGGTGTTACACGGTGCAGTCAAAGTCCAGACCAAACCTTACTGACCTAAACCCAGCAAACAGGCAAGATGTTATGCACCAGTGTTCTTGTGAATCGTGTCATTTAAAAGTTAGTTTTTTGTTTTAATCTTTCAAAATGGCAGATGATTTTTAGGTATTTTCATAAATGTAAACAAAGTTTCTGCCAATTTTAACAACTCAACTTTAATACGTTTAGAACCTTTTTTTATGGATTTAACAATAAATCTCCACTAAAATGTATGAACCTCATCCAGGCAGCTGGGGAGAAATTTGCACTTAACTATGATACATGCAAAAAAGCTGACTGGCTAGCAGTGGTATAATAGCAGCTAGTTAGCGGTAGCCTCAACCTTAGTGAAGATGCATGAGTACGAATGACAAAAAAATTTAAAATAAATACAATATTTAAGATTAAATATCTGTCAAGACTAAATTTAAGACTTGTGATTAACATATTTAACATATTAAAGGCCAACTTAGCTTTTAAAAATAAATTTAAGACATTTTAATGATGTGCGGCCCTCACTGAATAGTGAAAATAGTAAACAACAGAATATGTTTGGTTTGCACAAACTCTGCAGTTGACAGACCCTGAAGGTAAATTCAATATGTCAAATCAGCTCACAGATAGGTGGCTGGGCTGCATGTAAAGCCAGACTTCTCTCCATGGGTTTCATTCAGTAAGCAACCCGCCTGTTTGGCTGCACAGGGACTGTAATCATCATGAAAGGCTGCACACATGTGCTGCATTTAAAAAACATATTTACTTTGTAAATGTGATTAAAAGAAAGACCCTGAGGGGCATTTGTTGGATTTTATGTGTTGGGTTTCAGCAAAGTACCGTAAACAGTTGATTTCACACTGTTCCTCCGCCGTTGAAGCTTCAGGTCACTCCAACCATCAGCTGGACAAATCCTCAGTTAGCTGTTTAAAAGGACAATAATAAGTCTTTTTACCATATGAATGCACACACAGTAGATGATGTCAAAGGTTGTTTTCAATAGAGAGTAGATAACGGAAATGTAGCTGGACAATTTTAGCAACAGAGATTACATATTTTCCTGATATTTTACAGTTCAAGATAGCAAATGAGATATGTTGACCTGCATCTATAGATATGTGGATGACCTATAGTTGGTATTCTTATTGCAATCATATGTAAACACTGGCAGCAGAAATCTCTACAGTTTGAGATGTCTCATTATCTCAGTGCTTCTCAATTATTTTCCGTTACGCCCCCCCTAGCAAGAAGAAAACTATTCGCGCCCCCCATTCCCCACCGTGACTATACATCTCTGCATAACATTTTTTCCTTATTAACATTTTTTTCGCTGAAAAAACTCTAGCGGCTTATCGGCGTGATTGGGATGTAATGTATTTAAGTGACGCGCTAATTTATTTGGCTTCATGCTGTCCGCTGCGAGCATTTTTAGACACAGCAAACTCTTTCCTCCTCTCCAACTGTAGTCACAGTGAAGCCAAGCGCTAAATACGCTTCGTCGTATTTCCTCTTCTTAGCTTTCGGTTGACTTTCTGTTGTCTCATTATCTTTGTCTCTCTCCGCTTTTCTTTTCATCCCTGTGAAAAACTTTTTCATGTTGGGGGTTGTTGAATAACGGAGGCCATAGACAGAACGCAGTCGGAGCTTTTTGTTGACGTAACACTGCTAACCAAGGCAAACCTGTTGTCTTGTAAGTCGTAAAATGTTGCACTGTCGCAAACGTGACAGAAGTAACAATGAGAGCGCCACTGCCGCCTACTGTGCGCAATTACACTTTATACTAGTACGGCCAAAAAAAAGCCTGTTCCCCAGGATCACACGCGCCCCCCCAGGTATCGCACCGCGCCCCCCGAAGGGGGCCCGCCCCACTATTTGAGAAGCACTGCATTATCTAAATAGTAGAGCTGCAGAGAAAATATGATAATAATATTGTTAAAAATTCCAAAGATAGATTCAGTTCCATTGGCTTATGAAATGTGTGAAAGAATATGACATTACCAAATTTTGCTTGATGATAAATAAATCAATTAATTGCAAGATAATAATTGATAATATTGTTGTTTTAAAACCATTTTCAATATTGCTCAAGCATAATGATGCGAGAATACATTCTCAAAGATCAATAAACTTTCATTTCTAACCAACATTTAACACTGGAAGACATTTTACGTACCCAAAATAAATAAACAAAACAACCGAAACAACAGATTGAATTCTGAATTCTCATAAATTGAACATAATTGAACTTATAACAAGTTGAGACCAACACATGCAGTTTTTGGTAGAGAAAAGAAAAAAACTATAAATAAAGCAAACAGAAATGATCAATCTCAATTTAATTTATCATGCAATTAATTGATTTATTGCTTATTGTGGCAGGCCTCATTCCATTATTTCATTTATGACATGGGAGAATTGTTTTTGCTATATTTCTAAAATAAAACAAGCTCCTATATCTTGCTGAAAAGTTACTTTTAAGTTAGTTTTGTCTTATTTAAAGTGAACTAAGATATTTGCAATTAAAATTAGACAAAAATTACTTGATAACATTTTGTGTTTTTGCAATGTATTTTTGGCTCATGAATAAATTACTTTCTGGAACAGATGCATTTACAGTAAACTTTATTACAGCACTAACTCTAACAAGACGGACGTGATTAATTAGATCCTAAAAGGTTTGAGTTTAAGTGGATTTTTAAGCTGCATCCCCGTTCCTGTTGTGAGGAAGCGAATAGCAGTTCAGCCTGTGTTTATCATTCATTTGCAGTCAGCAACTGAACAGATATTAGCCCGGCCTTATCAGTGAAGGCCACAAAGCGCTGAGGGTGAAGCGGAGCGGATGCTGGGAGGGAAGCAGCTCCTCAGAGAGCCGGTTAATGATGCTCCCCACTGATGGAGGCTGACGCCGGGCCTGAGGCGTCTCTGTGGACGACCAATAGCAACTGTCGCTATCTAATTTCAAAGACGGCACACAATCTGCTCATTCTGAACGGTCCGAGTTGACGAGTGTTGAAAATAATGTTCAAAATTTAGCGAGATATATTTCACGGGACACTCTGGAAGGTCAGTGCTCAAATCGTGGATTAAGTTCTTCAGAATCGAGTTTGCATCCTTAAAGTTTTCTCTGTTGCAATCTTCTAAGCCAGTATTTTTCAAAGTGGGGTCCGCAGGCCCCTGGAGTGCCACCAGAGGGCGCCACAAAGAACATCAAGGACGATGGGAAAAAAATTTATCCAATACATTTTTAATCACAAAGGAATCAATATTTTAATAAAAAAAAAAAACATCTAATCCAATTTTCAATCATCATTATAAAATATAAATTAAAATAATTTATTGAAATGTTATTTGCCATCCTCAGCTTTCTGATTGGCTTCCAGTCAAATTTATCAAGCTATCCCAAGCAAGTGAAGCATGGCTAACTAAAGACAGAAGATATGAAATTCTCAATAACCAATAAATCAATTAATTGCAAGATAAATTAAAACAAGATCAATAATTTCCATTTGCACAATTTATCATTTTTCTCTTTTCTCTCTTTCTACCAAAACCTGGATGAGAAAAGTCTTTAGTCTGGCGCTTTGGTCTCAAATATCCCTTTTTAAAGGACAATTTTGTTAATGGAGACTTCATAATGTATTTTATTTGTTGTTTTTGATTTTTGGATATTTAAAATGTCATCCAATTTCAGTGCTAAATGATCGATAGTATTTAAAGTTTCTTGATCTTTAAGAATATGTTTTTGCATGATTATTATTATTACTATTAAATTACTTGAAAATGATCTCAAAACAACAAATTTATTGTTTATTGCAAAACCTTCTGGGACAATTTATTGTCCAGCAAAATTTGTAAAGGCAACAGGTCTAGAATGAGGCTGCCTTTATGTAAACGAATGTGACAATTATTGAGAATAGATAATAAAAGTGAGAAAAACATCTTAAAAGTTTATGTTTCTTTACATATTTTGCAGAATTATCTCCTGGTTTGCAAACAGGTTAACGCTGCGGCACAGAAATGTTTGGTAACCCCTTTTCTAAACTTCTACTATTAACTCATTTGTTTGTTGAATTAATTTCAAGAATATTTGTGATTATTTCTAATGAGTTAAAAGTAATCACAATAGTCCATAAAACTGGAATTTCTAATATTATGTATATAATGTAGTCTGCAGATTTACTTGCAATAAATGGAAATGATGAATATATTTGCATAAAAGGACCTTTTCATCTGCATAACACCATTCTGTGATTATAGTGCAGAGTAAGTCCTTCACTTCTCCAATGACGTCCCAAACTGTAAATCTTTATTCAGTCAGCAGAGCGACAGTAAGGGAAAAGTAGCCGTATGACCTCTTCTTTGCAGATGTGACTCTGTAACTGGAACAGTTTAAAGTAGGCCAGAGCTCAAAAGAGCCTGCATGCTCAGCACAACTCTGTTAATGGGAAAAAAGAAGTCCATGCAGACCTTGAGACAAAAGAGATCAACCTCGATGTCTGAAACACATGACTTTGCAGCTCATTAAATAAAAGACATTTTCCCAAACTTTAATATTCCTTCATTTTAAAGTGGCCTGAACATTTCCTGACACTTGGGAAAATATTTTGTATCAGACATTTGTTGGATCTTAACATTCCACTTTGTTCTTCATCCATTTTTCTAAGCACACACTATACACCCAATATTCAACTAGACACTACAAAATTATCATAGCAATATTAATTTTTGCTAAGTTACAATTGCAAAATCTATGTAAGTTGATGCTTTGGTTGTTTCTGACAGGGAGCAGTGAATTTCTGCAAATGGCAGTAGGACCTCTGAGAGGAGGCAGAGGAGCTTGCTTTTTTTCACAGATTGTCTCATGTAGGGTTTGACAATAAATTAATAATAGGTATCGCAATAGATGTAATCAATATCAATAGATAATGCATTTTCAATAATTTCACTCAACCATGGCAGTTTCAGAATTGCACAGCATTCTGGGGGATCTAAGCAGAGGAAATACTTTAGCCGGTTCATGGAATCAACTAACTCTGATTCTCTGGTTAGCAACTACTTGTGCAGCAGCAGCAGCTTAAGGTTTCACTACTGTGCTACATAGCTGCTTAACAAATGCATAATAAAAAGAAAAAAGAGTCATTTTTGTAGAACTACTGCAGCTTAAAGAGGAAAAACAACTTTCGAGCAACCTGGCACCAGAGAACAAAAGTGTAAATAAAAGGTTGGAACCTATCAGACAAGGTTCCAACCTTGTCTGATACAAGGTTACAAAGATAAACTAGCATTTTGTTCCAAAAAGCTAGTTTATCTTTTTGGAACAAAAAGCCTCATATGGTGTTTTTCAGTCTGTCTGAAGCGGAGTCTGACATGCAGTGCTTTTTTAATGTTCAATGCTGATCTCCACATCATATCAGCTGCCCTTTGCTGTCTGAGAAGCCTGAATTCATGTGACTGCTGCACGTAATTTCACACATGTCTGCTCCTCTGAACTCTCTGGAAAGAGGGTGTGACCTCAGCTTTTACGTTGAGTAGATACCGCTCTTTCATAGTTCCTGTTTCTGGAGAGTTTAAATTATATAGTTGATGCACATTTTCTGTGATTACATTTCATGTGCATTTTGTGAAGAGCATACATTTCTTTTCTGTGGAATTGAGCAGTCAGATGTGAAGCTAGAGGCCACATAAAAGCTGCAGCGAAATGTTGAAAATTTCTACAACGCAGAAGATATTTGCAGAGCTGAATAAAGAAGAAAGCCCTTAGCCTTCTGAAAACGCTTTGTATTCACAGATAAAAAAAAATTTAACACTGACCCGACATCAAAGATTTCATTAAAATCCATGAGCTAAATTTCTTCCATGGTTTTATGCCTATGATGTGTTTTTTTTAATATATATAACTGGTATTGAATCTACTTGTCAGTCTAACCTTCAAAACATTACACCAAAGTGGGTAAAAAGACAGAACTAGTTAATGTAAACTTCAATATTACTGTCTACTCTTTTGCCAAAGAAAAAAATTATAATTTAAAGCATAAATCAATCCCAAGTATACTCTTAAATATATTTCTGATTTATTAACAAGGTGGGTTCATATATCTATTGTGCAAATGCTGATATAGCTTAAAATGTAGAAAAAAGAAAACCCTGACAATAAAGCTAATTTATCTGGGAATATTTTCATATGAAATATTTACAACTATGATGCAAAAACATCATAGTTTACTAAGTGCACTTCTGCCACAATGGAATATATTTAAAGATGGATGTTTTGTTGAAGCACATATATATGTCAACAAATGTCATTTTAAGTTGCGTAATGACAATTTACTTTCAGAAAGGCTGAAAATTGTAATTCACATAAACCGATTGATTATGAGTTCAGTTGTCTCATTCAAATGGCTTTCTAGAAAGGATGACTTCAGCTTTCTGTTGTTAGAAACCGGATGAGAAGCCAATGAGTTGGTAATGTTAATAAAATTGTAACATATTTTATTGTCATATTTTAGTGACAATAAAATATGTCACTAAAGTAAATGTGTACAAAATGAAACACTCACCCTCTTCTTTGGTATAACAAGAGTTGCTAATTAGCTTAGCTAAGTTAGCTTAGGCGGTTGGAATCCGTCCGAATCTTATATTTGCCGGTTAATTTTGAGCCATGGAACATTATTAAACTAACAAACTAATCAATACTACATCACTAACTGAAGTTATGGTTACGTTTTATAACAAGTTTATTTAGTCAGTTTTTACAAGGCCGAAATAACCAACTGACAGCTTCCTAAATCGTAACGGTTGGAAGAGATAGCAGACGACGCTGTGATTGGTTGTTTTGTTGCTGGGTAACAGCCAACTCAGCTGCTGATTGGAGGATGTGCAACCAGTTCCGTGTTCCGGTTCTATGTCCACTCATACTCTTAACAATGAAAAGCTACTTCAATTTTTTCAAGAACTGGTATTCTGCATCACATATAAATAATTTGGAAATGTTTTCCATAGTTTCATAATTTATTGATTATGCTTTAGCACTTGAGAATTTTTCTTTTGTCATAAGCCAATTTTTTCCCCGCTAGCATTTATTTTGATTGCATTTACCCAGAATGCTTTGGGCTGTAGTTTGCTTCTTGCTTCTGAATAGGTATCTGGTCCGCTTGACGTTCACATATGCATTCGAACGCACCAGAGTTAACTTCAACCTAACCAAACGGTGGATCAGAGTTTAAATGCAAATTCACACCTCGCCAATTGAACCAGGCCATCTAGACAAACATACCAGAGTTGGATTAAAGTGGATTAAACAGGGCTGGTGCAAATGCAAACATTAAGAAAACACAAACCTACACCGTTACATCTCTTCTTAGAGGTATTTATTCCAGTTTGATGCAGCCAACAGTCACTGACTCACATGTAAACCATCATTCCCAGTTTATGGACTCATCTCTCACATCTGTTGCTTCAACATGAACCACTAAACAGTGATTTCTTCCTCTCCACGTTACAGTCAAGGCATACAAACGTACATTTACTATTTGTACAATTTATTGTCAGTAAGTCCATTCAATCTCCATTCTATCATCCATCCCTTGTTCACATACACACAAACACTGTTCAGTGTTCAGAGGCTGAAATATTTTATTCTATTAAGTCTTAAAGAAGCAGATGAGTACCTTTGTTTTAAAACACAAAATCTTAAAATGTTTTTGTCTAGATTTCAGTGCAGTATGTAAGGCAAAACTAACTTATGATTGATTTTCAGGTAAATAATTTCTTGATATTAAAAAATGTGCTGTTCCATTGGCAGATTATTTCAGTTATAATACATTTTTCCTATGTCATAAGTGAAATAATCTGCCAGTTATTTTTTTAATCAATATTTAAGGATTATTTACTTAAAACAAGCTCTTATGTCTTTGCAAAAAGTTACTAGAAAGTTAGTTTTGTCTTATTTTAAGTGTACTAAGAGATTTGCAAAATAAAAAGTAGACAAAAACAGTTTAGAATTTGTGTTTTTGTAGTGTGAGATGATTTGTTCTAACAGATTTAATACAGAGAACATTCTTTCTTCTGTTTCTCAGGAGCATAGAGAGAAGCACATTCAGGGGGAAATAAAGGAGGCAGAAAACATTAAAAATTATAATAAAAAAAATACAATAAAAACAGCCAAAAAATGCTCTGCCCACTCCATCATTTCTGGTTTATTTCTGCTTAATTTTATAAACATCTAAAGCCAAGCTGAGGTGAAACCACCGTCTGGTTTTGATTCATGACAGGAGTGACTATAAGCGATGACATTTACAGCGCAGCGCGTACAGATCCCGTTCAGCATCGTACATCTCCAATACTGACGCCTCATCTGTAATACAGTCAACTTAAGCTGCTTCCTCCTTTTACGCTCAGCCTGTGCAGTTTGTTGCACATTAAGAAGAAATCCAGTGTCGGGACTAGGATAACGTCACCTTCGCAGTGAAGTGGCACAAATGCAGCTGCAGGACAAAGTGAGATACTGAAAAGTGCAAAGAGTCAAAAGTTTGTTTGGTCGCTTCTCTGGAGGATCGCAGTCAGTCGGTTGGTCGCTCTGCGATGTTTTGCAGTGAGCAGCGACGCCGGATTGGGAAGAGCTCTACATTACGAGAAACAATTCTGGCGTCTACCTGCCAAAAATGTTCTCATACTCCAGCAATATGAGCTCCACTATCTGGTTCTGGTAAACCATGTTGAAAGCCATGTTCAGGGTCTCCGTTTCGGGCCGCAGCAGTGTGGGACCAAAGACGATGGCCACGCTCTGAGTGGTCATGCGGTTTTCCTCACCATGATCGATCACTCTGCGAAAGAAAACGAGAAAAAATGTGGAGACAGAACTTTTATTAGTGGTTCATATAACAATAACTTCAGGGTTCTGACACGTTTGGCCTCCAGAGTTTCTAAAGTTGTGTTTCAAAAAGTCTCATGATTGTTTAACAATGAAAAATAAAAATAAAAATGTGAATTTATAGCAGAGTTCAACACATGGGAAGCTTTAAATCTCTAACCTTCTAGTTTCTGTTTCTAATCTGAAAGGAAAGATAGGAAGAATGAAACAAGGTACAAGAAAGAAAGGAAAGACAGAAGGAAAACAGAACAAGCAAATAAAGGAAAGAAGTGAGGAAAAAACAAAAAAGGAAAGAAATAGGAAGGAAAACAGTACAGAGAAGGAAGGGAAGAAGAAAGGAAGAAAAAACAAAGGAACAAATGAAGAGGAAGGAAGACAGGATGTGGGGAAGGAAGGACAGAAGGAAAAGAAAACAGAGGAAGGAACAAAGGATGCAAAAAAGGAAGGAACAAAGAGAAAAAAAGAAAGGATGGAAGGAAGCAGGAGGAAGGAAATAAAAAAATTATGGATAAAACATTAAATGAGGAAGGACACAACAAGGGAACAATCACAAAAGAAGGAATGAAAGGTATAGGAAAGGAAAGAAATCTAGGTAGACTGGAAAAACAACCAAAGAGGGAAAAGAGTGGAAGAAAAATGACAGAATGAAGGAAAATGAGGAGAGAAAAACAACAAAGGAAATAAAGAAAAAGTGGAAGGAAGGACTGAAGGATGTGAACAAGGAAGATCAAAAAATGATGCAGCATTCAGAGAAAGAAAAATATTGAATCACATTTGGAAAAACTTTTTGAAAAAAAAGTTTCTCTGTTTTTAAACCGTAATGAAACTCCGAACTTTATTCACACGCAAATCAAAAATGTCACCTCATCATCACTGCAGATGTACGACTTTATCAAATAAGTAAATAATGCAATTCATGAAGTCTTGCCGCATTCTTTCTTCCATTGGTTGCTGTGGGGTGATAAAACAATAAAAAGCTGTAAAACGTGTGACTTTCTTACTTCCTGAGGTGTTTGAAGAGAGCCTGCATCGTGTCGTGGTTGGGCTTGGGCAGCTGCCGCACCAGCTCTTTGATGGCCTGCACCCGCTGCCTGTAGTCTGAGATTTCTGCAGAAGAAGAAGAAAAACATCAAAACCTGGATTCACCGCAGAGCTATTCTGGTTGCAGCACAAACAAAATGTTTCTGATGAATTTCTCTCACTCATGCAGTACAAACGTGTCTAAAACATGAACATGAAACTCATTTAACAACAGAGGAATGACAGCAGTAAAGATGCAAACATGTCCAATGGAAGTTTTCACATTTTCCAGCACCACCCTTTGGAGATAAAAACAATGAACTAGTTTCACTTACAATAAGACATTTTCTCAAAGTTAGTAGTTAAGTGATCTACCATTGAAACTAGCATATTTTCCTCAGCTTTAGGGAATTATCAACTTTAAAGTAGCTTCTATTTCTTGCTGAAAAGTTATTTGTAAGTTAGTTTTGTCTGATTTGGAGTGTACAAAGATATTTGAACTAGAAACAAGTCAAAAAATACTCGGTAAGATTGTGTGTTTTTGCAGTGTGACGCATACTGATGGCGGCGACGAAGTCGTGGAACAGAGCGTAGGTGAAGAGCGGCTCGGGAAGCTCCCTGAAGTACATCTTCAGAGCTCCAGTCGTCACATGGATGTCCTCCCACTTCGAGTCCGAAAGGCTCAACTTCTCATCTGAAAAAAAAATAAAAAATTAAACACTTTTCAGAGCCTCCTTTGCTACCAAAACACAAAATCTTACCAAGTATTTCTGATCTAGTTTTTAGTGCAAATTTAATTTGATCTTATTTAAAGTGAACTAATATTATTTTTGCACTAGAAACTAGATGTTCTAGAAAAGAAAAATACTTGCACTGTTTAACATCTAACAGGACAAACAAAGCATTTCACAGCAACTCACCATGACAGACAGCAAATCGTAGCTTCTGTATGATCGCCAGATTCCCGCTAACTCTATACAACCCGTCTACATACAGACCTGCAGAGGAACCAAACATGAAAAAATGGGTCAGTGACTTTTATGAAGTTCATCAGGAAACAACCCGAACAAGATTCGTTCCACTTCGACATTCACCGTTGTTCTCTACGTGATCGATGCACATCCTGACGAACTTCGGCACCGTGGTGTTCTCCTGCTGACACAAGCTGGACAGACTGCAGCCGAAAACCTGATCTGGAGAAACGAATGACAGGAAACGGGTCACTTCTCTCCTTTTTTGCAAAAACCTTCAGCCGAAAATGTTCTTTAAGCATTTGGGTTTTAAATGCACTCATCTTGGGTATGAATGTAAATTGATCTGGAGCTTCTCGTGATTTATTTAAATGGATCTTTGTCTTTGCATAATTTTACTTCCTATATCTTGAAGGAATTTGCTGCAGTAGGATGAATTTGCGAGACTTATACTTACAAATACGTTTACAGATGTATTTAAAGTCATAAGTAGGAGATTAAAGTCCTAATTATCAGGGAAAAAAGTAATCATTTTGAGATTAAAGTCCTAATTTCGAGAAAAAAATCAGAATCTGAAATTAAAGTCATCATTTATTTATTTTTTACTACTGTCCCTAATCCTTCTCCATAACAAAGAGTGTTTGGATGCTAAGATGCATTTATTTAAATCTCATAAATGTTTAAATTAGTAGGGACAGTTTTGAATTAAATTATTGGTACTTCTGTCTCAACTGTCTTCATTTAAGCAGCTTTAGCAAAAAGATCCCTTACTTTTTATATTGTAGTTTTATAAAAATCTAATGTTTTGCATGTATTTTTTTAAAAAGAAATGTCTGTGCAGCCAAAGAGTTGTCAGGGTTGAAAACACACAAAAAAACACAAATTTGCCACCAAAAACATAGAAAAATCATAAGAAAACACAAAATAGCAATGTCCTT